GTGTGTGTGTGTGTGTGTGTGTGTGTGTGTGTGCTTTATCTGCAATGTTAATGTACTGTCATCAGTGGTTCAGTTTGCCCATCTTTTTTTAAATTTCTCTTTTAAAATGGGAATGTCACCCCACCACCCCATCACCCCCTTCTCACTAGGGCTTTCCTGAATGTCTGCTTTCAAGGCACAGGATTAAGCATTTTCCCATATAGGACTGAGTTCTTGAATACAACCAGAAAAGTAGTCAATAAGTCAGCAGATAAACTAAAGCCAAGCCAGCCCTGGTTTAGGCTCTCCCCCCCCTCCCCAAAACCCAAAGTCAGGATCTTGACAGGAAAGGGCTGGTATATCAGGAAGTTCCATCAGACAATTAAAGTTTCTGATCCATGGATAGAAACCACTCTACCAATAAGCTAAGCAGTGTTTTCTACTGGAAATTTATAGCTACTTTCCCCTTAGTTGATAACAATAACTCGCTGGTAACTCCCTGATCTGGCTGCAAGATTATGCATATATTTTGAAGCACATTTGTAAATAAAAATATATAGGTGCTCCTCAGTTCATGTTACTTGCTTGGCAAAAATGCATTATTGGTTTGACAGTACATATTTTGATTTATACGCGTGTTCCCCTCCCCTCCAATTTCCCAAATTAACCTGTATCTGTGATTGTATCCAAATACTAATTAGTTCAACATCTACTTGACATGCTCACAGGGACTGGCAGTTTCACTATTGGGTCTAAATCAGTCAAGGGCATAAGGTCTCAAATGAGTGGGGAAAATCTAGACCGAGGTAGAAATGGTTCATTTGGTTCAGAAAGCTCAGAGTGATTGGTTGATCTGTCTTCCTCCATTCAAGATTCTTGACTACTTGACAAACTAATTTTCCCTGAAGGAAACAATGGAAATGACCTCATTTATCCATTGGGGAAGCATACTCTAGCAAGGCAAGAGCTTAGTACCACTTCTTCCTGCTGCTAGGATAAGTAACTGGATTCTAGATACAGGAGAGGAGAGGCAGTGATGTAAACTGCCTTTTAAAACTCTCATTGGAATATTCAAGCAAGATTATGCTCTCTTATTATGACTGTTTACAATGTGCTTAACCCCAAAGAAATTCACTTAGAATTAAGACTAGGTAATCAGAGACATCACCCTGTCAAGAAAAGTGTGTATAGTCAAAGGTCTGGTTTTCCCAGTTGCAATGTATGGCTGTGAAAGTTGGACCATAAGAAAGGCTGAGAGCCAAAGAATTGAGGCCTTTGAATTATAGTGCTGGAGAAGACTCCTGTGAGTCCCTTGGACTATAAGGCGATCAAACCGGTCAGTCCTAGAAGAGATCAACCCTGACTGCTCTTTAGAAGGCCAGATCTTGAAGATGAAACTCAAATACTTTGGCCACCTAATGAGAAGGAAGGACTGACTGGAGAAGAGCCTAATGCTGGGAAAGATTGAGGGCAAAAGAAGAAAGGGATGACAGAGAATGAGGTGGCTGGATGGAGTCACTGAAGCAATAGGCATGAGCTTAAATGGACTCCAGAGGATGGTAGAGGGCAGGAAGGCCTGGAAGAACATTGTCCATGGAGTCACAATGGGTCGGACATGACTTTGCAACTAACAATAAATTCCATATGGGTGGTTCCTTGTGGTATTAATCAAAAGGCATTATGCATCCATTCTATCTACTTCTCTTGCAGTTTCTGTGGTTAAATAAAGAAAAACAAAAATGACAGGGTTATAAATGGAAGATTTTAGAGGAAGGATCCATTATATTCTTGAAACAGCAAAACTGCACAAGAAAATTCTGGCATGGAAGCCCACCTACTTCCCAGTAACTATGTTGAAACTTTTAAAGTTAAATCTATAACCACTTTATAAAAACCTTAATAAGACCACACCGGAATACATGAAGTATTAGTACCAATTTTATAAAGCCTTGGTAAGACCACATCTGGAATAATGTGGTGACAATTTTGGTCACCATATTATAAAAAAGATGTCAAGACTTGAAAAAAGTACAAAGAAGAACAACTAAGGAGATTAAGGGCTTGGAGACTAAAACATATGAAGAATGGTTGAAGGAATTGGGTATGG